TTTGAGATGGGGTTTCACTCTGTCACCCAGGCTGGAATGCAGTGGTGCGACCTCACTGCAACCTCCGCCTCCCGGGTTCAGGCAATTCTCCTGCCTCAGCCTCCCGAATAGCTGGGATTACAGGCACCCGCCACCGTGCCTGGCCAATTTTTATATTTTTAGTAGAGATGGGGTTTCACCACATTGGCAAGTCTGGTCTCGAACTCCTGACCTCAGTTGATCTGCCTACCTCGGCCTCCCAAAGTGCTGGGATGACAGGCTTGAGCCACCGCGCCTGGCCCAGGACTTTATCTTGTTCCCACGTGTCCTCAGTGTCTGAACAGACTAGCTTGGGAGGTGCATGCAAAATGATCTCAGCCTGCTTGCAGGGTGGGCACCTGTGTGGAATCGGGGTCCCTGATCCCATGGGAATAGGTGCCGTGCTTCAGAGCTGGCCCCCTGGCCTGCCATTTCCAGGCTATCCCGTCTGGCATCAGCAGCACATGGCCTAGGAGATGATATACGTGGCATCCTCTGTTCTCTTTCAGACAAAGGCCTCAGCGAGGACCCGCGGCCCGAGGAAAGGCCCGTGGAGGGTGAGACCCTGTCTGCCCCCCACATTTCACCCCCAGCCCCACCCCATCTCTCCTCCCCTGTCCTCCACCTCCCCTTTGGCCTCTGGGTCTCTGCCTTCTCTCCACCCATCTCTCTCCAGCACCCTGGTTTGGGGGTGGGAGTCCTGTGGGCTGCCTGAGGTGGGAGGAGATTCAAGGACCTGTCCTCTAGAACCAGGAGGTACCTGGTCAATGGTACACGCAGCTGCCCCTGCTGAGGAAAATTGCAAGGCTTAGTTTTTACGACACACATTGCTGCTTTCCGCAAACGTTTTAAGACTGAGAACTGAGCCTCCTCTATCAGCAAGTAGAATTGAGGCCTGAAAGCCCAAAATTGGCTTTGTGTCCAGCAGACACGCCCATTCTCAGGAACGTGAGAATTCCCTCCCTGCTGAGGATGGAAGTAGGAGAGAAAGAGAGGGGAGTCAAGGTGAGGGTGGGTCTGGAGTATCCTGGAATGGAATGAGTGAGTGTCAGAGGAGAGAATGTCACTTCCCCAAACCCAGCCTGGCAGGAGGAACTGTGACGTCTTAACACAGTTCCACTGCCACCTGGTGGCAGCGTGCTCAATTTGCAGGCTTAGTGCGTACCCGCTAGTTCTCAGTCACAATTCTACCTGGACAGACCCATGGTTACTCCTAGTTCACAGAACCTTCCAAATCTTCATTCAGGCTGGCAGTGCCCTAGGTTTGGTTTCACAAACAAGCATGTGAGCCCAGGCATTGTCAGGTCTGCCTGTGCTGTTTCTGAGACCGTAAGTTCCCCACCGCCACCGCCCCAGCCTTCCCCCATTCCAAGATCCCACCCAGGGCCAATCTTGGTACCAGCAGAGCTGGGACATCAGCTGAGAAGCTGCCACCAGAGAGGCACCACAGACTGCCTTTTGCCTTCCAGACAGCCACGGTGACGTGATCCGTCCCCTGCGGAAGCAGGTGGAGCTGCTCTTCAACACGCGATACGGTGAGCAAGCAGTGGGACAGGGTCTGGGGGCGTCCTGGCCCCCCCACCAGCTGCGCTGTTAACAGAAAGGGCTTTGGACCCACCCCCTTGCCCATTCTCAAACCAGCTGCTCTCTGGGCAGGGACAAGGGAGGGAGGGATGGGAGGAGCTGGGACCCACCATCAGGATGGGGACACTAGAGGGGCTTCCAGTCAGGCTCCCTGGCTCACTCACTTACGCTCTGCCTCAGCCGCAGTTTGGAGGCGACTCCCTCCCCTGTAGCATTGCCAGCCTCTGCCGTCACGCTCACTCAGGGTCCTCAGGAAGACTCAATAAGAATAAGATCAGATAACTTCAAAGCTAGGTGCCTCACCACATTCTCTTTTTTTTTTTTTTTGAGATGGAGTCTCACTCTGTCACCCAGGCTGGAGTGCAGTGGCGCCATCTCGGCTCACTGCAACCTCTGCCTCCTGGGTTCAAGCCTCAGGCTCCCAAGTAGCTGGGATTACAGGTGAGGTAATTTTTGTATTTTTAGTAGAGACGGGGTTTCACCATGTTGGCCAGGCTGGTCTTGAACTCCTGACCTCAGGCGATCCGCCCGCCTTGGCCTCCCAAAGTGCTGGGATTACAGGCGTGAGCCACTGTGGCCCAGGCCCCCACCCCGTCCTCTTGTATCCCATCTCACAAAATCCCCATGTCCTAAGACCCATTTTACAGAAGGGAAATGAGGCCTGGTAAAGGGATGAGACTTGTCCCAGGCCCCACACTATTTGGTGGCAGAGATCGGGCTCATTCCAAAGCGTGGTGTTGCTTCTGGTGACAGGAGGGACACTCGGGGGTCTTACTGGAAAGGTGAGGCCCAGTGGACTTAGAGGGAAGCGATGTCAAATCTCAGCGGCCATTAGTGGTGGCTTCTCTGCTGCCTGGGCGTGAGGGCATGGACCCAGCGTGGGCTTTGGGGTACCCCTGGTTTGAGTTCTTCTCCCCTGGCTCTGCTGTTCAGTGGCTCTGTGACCTCAGACAAGTCACGTCCCCCCTGAGCTCCAGGTTCCTTTCCTGTGGCTGGGGGACTACTTTTTCCACCTCCCAGGAAGGCTGGCAGGCTCTCAAAAGGGCTCTGGCAGCTTTGCCCCGCCCCCCGCACAGGCACGGGACACAGGGGTTGAGGCTCCTGGCCCTGTGGCACCGGGAGGCCCGACAGCAGCCCTGTCTCTGCAGCCAAGGCCATTGGCATCTCGGAGCCCGTCAAGGTGCCCTACTCCAAGTTTCTGATGCACCCAGAGGAGCTGTTTGTGGTGGGGCTGCCTGAAGGCATCTCCCTCCGCAGGCCCAACTGCTTCGGGATCGCCAAGCTCCGGAAGATTCTGGAGGCCAGCAACAGCATCCAGTTTGTCATCAAGAGGTAAGGCCCCGCCAGGTCCGCAGGAGACAGCACCAGGCCTGCTCAGAGCCCGGGAGCAGCGGCAAATTGCCATCAAGCGATTCTCGTGCCTCAGCCTCCCGAATAGCTGGGACCACAGATGTGTGCCACCATGCCTGGTGAATTTTTTGGGGATTGCGCGCGCGTGCGTGTGTGTGTGTGTGTGTGTGTGTGTGTGTGTGTGTGTGTGGTTTTTTTTTTTTTTAGAGATAGGGTCTGGCCACCTTGCCAAGACCATTCTCAAACTCCCGGACTCAAGCCACCTCCTGCCTTGGCCTCCCAGAGTGATTACAGGCGTGAGCCACTGTGCCTGGCCACTATTTCTTTCCTTCCCTCCCTCCCTTCCTTCCTTCCCCCCCCTTCCTTTCTTCTTTCCTTCCTTCCTTCCCCCCTTCCCCCTTCCTTTCTCTTTCTTTCTTTTTTTTCTTCTTTCTTTTCTTTTCTTTTTTTGAAACAGTCTCACTCTGTCTCCCAGGCTGGAGTGCAGTGGTGCAATCTCAGCTCACTGCAACCTCTGCCTCCTAGTCTTAAGCGACTCTCCTGCCTCAGCCTCTCAAGCAGCTGAGACTACAGGCGTCCGCCACCATGCCCGGCTCAGTTTTATATTTTTAGCAGAGACGGGATTTCACCATGTTGGCCAGGCTGGTCTTGAACAACTGAACTCAAGTGATCTGCCCACCTTAGCCTCCCAAAGTGCTAGGATTACAGGCGTGAGTCACCGTACCAGGCCTTTCTGTTCTCTTTCCTTTTTTTTTTTTTTTAGACAGCAAGGTGTCAGATGGGTTCTGGCTGCAGCTGGCAACCAGGAGGCTCCCCAGCCCTGCCGGACCCAACGCACTGGAGCTGACCGCCCCCACAGTCTCAGGAGAGGGGTGTTCAGTTTCTGTCCGCTCCAGGGTTCTCTAGGCAGGCGGGTCGCTGTCCTGGGCCAGGGGCTGGGACAATGCCCCGTTTCCCCAGAATGGGAAAGGCTGGCACGGCTTCTCCAGGGTCTTTCTGTTTCCTTGGGCATGTTGTGTTTTTGCCAGTGAGGGCCCGGGGCAGCACCCGTGGATATACCCTGTGTGCCCAGCTGGGATAAAAAGTCCCTTTGGAGAAGATAGTGGCAGTTATTGAATAAAAAGGTGGTTGGGGATGTCGGGAGCAGTGGCTCATGCCTATAATCGCCGCACTGAGGAAGCTGAGGCGGGAGGGTTGCTTGAGCCCAGGGGTTCAAGACCAGCCTGGGCAACACAGCAAGACCGTGTCACTACAAAAATGTTTTTTTAAACACTGGTGTGGCAGCATGTGCCTGTAGTCTCAGCTACTCAGGAGGCTGAAGCAGAAGGTTCACTTGAGTTCAAGACTAGCATGGGCAACATAACAAGATCCCATCTCTACAAAATAATTTAGGCCAGGCACGGTGGCTCACGCCTGTAATCCCAGCACTTTGGGAGTCCGAGGTGAATCACGAAGTCAGGAGATCGAGACCACCCTGGCCAACACAGTGAAACCCCAACTGCTAAAATACAAAAAATTAGCCGGGTGTGGTGGTGCATGCCTATAGTCACAGCTACTCAAGAGGCTGAGGCAGTAGAATCACTTGAATCCAGGAGGCGGAGGTTGCAGCGAGCTGAGATCGCACCCCTGTACTCTGGCCTAGCCACAGAGCAAGACTCCATCTCAAAAAAAAAAAAAAAAATTAGCCAGGCGTGGTAGCATACACCTGTAATCGCAGCTACTCGAGAGGCGGAGGCAGGAGAATCGCTTGAGCCTGGGAAGTGGAGGTTGCAGTGAGTCAAGATTGCACCACTGCGCTTCAGCCTGGGGGACAGAGTGAGACTCTGTCACAAAAAAATAAAATAAAAAAGGAAGATCGCATCTCGGGCGATTTAAGGATAAACTCGAGATAGACATAGAGCCCGTGAGACGTGTGAAAACATAGGGAAATTAAGACTCAACAAGAGAATGTGTGTAATTATAGTACAGTAATTGGCTGTACTGTATACGTGTATGGTACTGTACTTGTGGAAGGAGAGCCTCCTTCAGCATATTCCCAGCTGGGCAACGTGGTGGAACCCTGTCTCTAGGGAAAGAAAAAAAATGAGTCAGGCGTGGTGGTGTGCACCTGTCGTCTCCGCCATTCGGGAGGCCGAGGTGGAGGCCGAGGCTGCAGTGAGCCATGATCGCACCACTGCACTCCAATCTAGGTGACAGAGTGACACCAGGTCTCAAAAAATAAATTAAAAAAAAAAAACATTCTGGCCGGGCATGGTGACTGACACCTGTAATCCCAGAACTTTGGTGGGCCAAGGCGGGGGATCACGAGCTCAGGAGTTTGAGACCAGCCCGGCCAACACGGTGAAACCCCGTCTCTACTAAAAATACAAAAAATTAGCGAGGCATGGTGGTGCATGCCTGTAATCCCAGCTACTCAGGAGGCTGGGGCAGGAGAATCACTTGAACCTGGGAGACGGAGGTTGCAGAGAGCTGAGATCGTGCCACTGTGCTCCTGCCTGGGCGACAGAGCAAAACTCTGTCTCAAAAAAAAAAAAAAAAAGTGTGGAGGCAGAGAAAAAGTCTCAGAGGCAAGAAGGTGCCTGTGTGTTTGAAGGCTCACACTGTGCCGTCGTAGCTGGTGCAGGGTGAGTGAGGGAAGGATGATGAAGTTGAGGCCCAAGAGGTAGCGGGGGACAGGCGTGCTGGCCCGCACCTGTAATCCTACCACTTGGTTAGGCCGAGGCGGGAGGATTGCTGCTCTGAGCTCAGGAGTTTAAGCCCAGACTAGGCAACATAGTGAGACCGTATCTCTATAAAAAAGAAAAATAGGCCAGGAATGGTGCTTCACGCCTGTAATCCCAGCACGTTGGGAGGTCGAGGCAGGTGGATCACCTGAGGTCAGAAGTTTGAGACCAGCCTGGCCAACATGGTGAAACCCCATCTCTACTAAAA